TTGTTGAGTGCCTACTGTGTGCTTGGCAGTTCTAGAATCTGGGGATAGAGCCAGCAGAGGCCATGTTTCCTGCCATATGGAAGTCATCAGCCTGAGAAAAGAAAGCCATCAGTTAGACTAAAAGGGAAACAGGAGACAGAAGCGTCCTGGCAGCATTCTGGTTCCAGCTCAGGTTGTCCTGGAGGACCTTCCACATACATGAGAGAGTAATTTTGCCTGCCCTAGTTAGAACTAGCTTTATGTCGCTTTCCATTCAAAGACCGGACTACCGCAAATAATGTGTTCTGAGTGGCTTGTCCCCCGGGGGTCTCGGGGCTGTTGTTATTCCATCATTCTCTGAAAGGCGTCCCAGTTTAAACTCAGGCTCACACCCACCCTCTTGGCCTGATAGTGGACTGATTCATTGATTCACTCATTCACTCTTGCCTGCATACTGCTCAAAAGACACAGCCCCCACCTCAAGGAGTTCTGGTTATCCTTCTGGAGGACTTGGAAGCAGGCGGCCTGGGGAGCTCTCAGCCCCTCGGCAGCAGCTGGTACCTTTGCTTCCTTCCTTCCTACGGAGACATATTTCTCACTTGTCTTTTAGGTTTCTCTCTGTCTCACTGGCCATGCCGCCTTGCCTTCCAGAGCTCGTGGTGTGGGAGGTCTGGAAATCCTTTCTCAGTCCTCCTGCCTGTTCCCTCCCGGGGGATCTCATGGCATCTCCACTGCCTACAATCACATCACTGCACAGACGTTTTGCAAATTCATATCTCTCAACCTCTTCCTGAATTCCCAGTTCACATGCTGGGTGCCTCCTACAGCCCCATCCTTCTGAGTGTCAGTTGGTTCCCACACTCCTCTTGGCAGCTTCCCTCCCTACCTGGCCTTGTTTTCTGGCTTTGAGGGGCCTGTATGGACTCTACCCCCAGGCTCCCGGCCCTCTGGCTTTAGGTGGGAATCAGGTAATGTGGAACGCTGGAAGGAAGGGGATGGGACAGCAGCGGGGAGAAGCCATGTGAGTTAACCTGGGGCTGGCTGTGTGCTGGAACCACACACGTGACCTTCTGCACACCTCCCTCTTCTGAGGCTGATAGCCTCTTCCTCCTCTCATTCCTGTGGGCCAAGGGGTGGAGACAGCAACTGCCCTGTTCCCCATGCCACACCCTCACTCTCCCTGTCCAGTCTCTTATATTTCACCCACGTGTTTATGAAAAGCCTTTGTAAACAAATCCTCCTGGGGTGATAGAATTTGGAGGTGCCATCTGTTTTCAATTGGAACCTGAGCTGCACTGGTGATTGATACTGGAGATGACCTTAGGAAATGGGGCCTGGATATTCTGGGATTGGGTCGATCAATTATTCAAGAAGGACAGACACATCCTTGTCAGAGGGAAATGGAACATGGATTCTCCATAGCAGGTGGTGGCATCACTGATCCTCACATTGTCACTGGCAGTGACAGAGACCACAGGCAGGTAGAGGGTAAAGCGTTTGCGATTTCAAATTGTTTCTATGGCAACAAAAGGAATGTAAAGATTTCACAGTCACCAGGATTGTTCTTAGGGCCCTAGAGAGCACACATAAGGAAAAGATAGAATTTAAAACTGCACACACCACAGGGAGTCCTTCCCGGGGGATCACATGTCCCTGTCTCCTCTCCATCCTCTCATGGACTACACAGCGGGCGTGGCGTGTTTGTCAGGAAAATATACAGGGTGGCCAGAAAGTTCGTGTGCAATTTAGAATCGTACATGAGCTTTACGAACACTGTTATTGGCACTTTCCCTGGAAAGGGAACTGTGACAGTCCAAACCTTTTAAAGTTCCTCTCACTGACCTGGAGTCTTGGGGACCTGAGGATCCTGCTCGAGGAATATTCTAACCTTGGCCTTGGGTTCTTGAATGCAGCTAACTCCAGCTCATTGAGCTAAGGTTCCGAGTTCTGCCTGCTCCTCTGCACATATTGAGCAGAGCGGAAGCCCTGGCCCTTTCCTCCCTCTGCCCTCACCCCCATGGAGTGTGTCGGCTGGCCTCCATGCTGGCAGCTATAGCAGGTGACAGGCTTGCCTGGAGAAAGCCCAGCCAGGAGAGGGGTGACCTCTGGAATGGTATCAGAGAAGCTTTGTGTTGCAGGGGCTGACTGGGGTTGGCTGAGAGACCAGGGCCCCCCTTCAAAATAGGGTTATATGGATTTGTGTTGGGATTTCAGTATCTTTCAAAAGGGAATTATGTGAATACAGAACATGCCCTGGAGACAATCACCTTTACAATAGGGCTGCTGTATTCTTTACTTTGTGTTTTGTTTTGTTTTTTTAGAGATGGGGTCTTGCTATGTTGTCCAGGCTGGTCTCAAACTCCGGGGCTCAAGCAATCCTCTCACCTTCAACTCCTAAAGTGTTAGGATTATAGGTGTGAGCCAGCAAACTCATCTTTACTTTTGGAATCAGGTCCCAAGCTTCTATTTGGAATGGGAACTCTTGGGATACTGGCCTCTACAGGGAATAGGGAAGGGCTAGGATTTCCCCCTAAAGAGTCATGTTTAGAGTTCATGGAATAACTAAGCCTGCTCACCAGCACCTAAGGCATCTGTGAGTTAGGTGGCAACAAAGTGCAGTGTTTGTGGGAGAAAAAGAAATGTTTCAGATGAACCAAATGCCACCCTGACACTTCCATTCTTGTTCCCTTGGCACGGTCTCCTAAACATGGGAGAGAGACTAAAGAGTCACTAGTGATGGCACTGCGGTGGTTCTTGGGATGGCTGTCCTCTCTGTCCTAAAGACAGCCACTTGGGCTCAGAATTTGTTGTAATAGGCTCATTACAAAAGACCTCATCTTCTTGGTGCAGGGTGGGGGTGCTTGGGAGAAAGGGGCCCAGTAAACCAAGGTCCCAGAGATCCAACCAGGTGGGAAGGACCCACTTCTGGCCCCAGCATTGATCCCAAACCATGACGATGGCCTCACTCCGTTTTGCCTTGAGAGCAACAGGGTGGGTGGAGGTGGGGGGCTTTGGTTTGCAGCCTAGACTCCTGTAAGCGCTGCAGGCACAGGGGCAGGGCTACTAGGAGAAACAGGCACTGTGCTTAGTAGACAGGAGATGCTCTGTCAAACTGGCTGAAGTCAATAGGGGTCTTTTGAAGGACATGCAGGGATGGCAGCAAAATCAGTATCAGGAGGTGTGTTAGGGCCTCATGGGAGCTGGGATGCTCTCAGGGGGTGGTTACCCTGCCCCTTCATTCTTTCTCTCTCCCTCCTTCCTGTCCTCTGTTCATTCATCCTTTCTTTGGCTTTTCACTTCCCGTCTGTTTTTCTCTGCATATCCCCACCATCATCTCTCTGACTGGCTCCCTCTCTTGGCGTCTTAGCTTCTACTCTTCCCAGCATCCAAGACCCTGCTTGGGATTGCCAGGACACCACCTCTAGTCCCAAAGTCACTTTACCACCCACTTCCATGCCACACCTCCTGCCTGACAGCACTGGGTTTAACTTCAAATTCCAGGGGACTCCTACTGGCCCTGCTTGGCCCAGTCTTGGGCCAGTTAGTGTGGACAGGCAGGCAGAGGTCTGAAGCTCTCTGGGCTGTGTCATTACACTGTGCACCAGGTGGGAGAAAAAGAAATGGTTCAAATGAACCAAACGCCACCCAGCATTCGCTGTCACCTCCACCCCTGTTCACTTGGCATCTCCAGAAAGGGGGTGGCAGGGAAAGGAAATGAGGGGCCATTACCCTCGCTGGTCTATTGCTCCAGGTCTATATCCAAGTGAGGGCCATTTCCAAAGGTGACTGTGATGTCAGCCCCCAGCCCATATTTGAGTCCTATCTTTGCCACTTAGGAGTTATAGCACCTTGAACAAGCTACTTAATGTCTTTGAGCCTTAGTTTCTTCATCTGAAAATAGTTTCCATTCCATAGGACTGTCATGGGACTAAATGAGGTAGTGTGGTCAAAAATGCCTCTTGTAGACAACCAGTAAATGATAGAATACAACAACCAGTTACGGCTCTATTCTAGGGTGTCAAAGAGCTCTGTAGACCCCAAGGCCAAACTGGCTCCACCCCAAGAGGCCTGTGACCAGGCGTTGTGGAGCAGCTTGCATTTTGAGGAGTTAAGTTTGTGTTAGTCTAGAACTGGCTGGAGGTCTTTCCTGCTAGGTGGAGATCACCTGTCCCCCAACTGCTACAGCCCCCCTTGGTGCCCCTATTATAAAGGCAGGGAATGGTTTAGGATGTGGATCTGCTAGATTCATACCCTGGCTCTGCCCTCAATGACCATGAGACAGGGGGCTCCTGACTCAACCTTTATAATCTTCAGTTTCCTGGTCCAAACAGTGGAGACCATCACATTCTAAAGGACTAAGAGATACTTCTGGCCAACTGTTCAGCACAATACTGGGTGCTCAGTGAGATTTCAATGAACTTGCAAGTGCTATTATAGTCTTGGAGTTGTAGAAACAAACTGAAGTGACTTAGGGCCAGGCCTGGTGGCTCATGCCTGTAATCCTAGCATGAGGCCGAGGCAGGTGGATTGCCTGAGCTCAGGAGTTCAAGACCAGCCTGTGCAAGAGTGACCCTGTCTCTACTAAAAATATAAATAATAGCTGGGCATTGTGGCAAGTGCTTGTATTCCCAGCTACTCAGGAAGCTGAAGCATGAGGATCGCTTGAGCCTAAGAGTTTGAGGTCGCTGTGAGCTATGAC